CAATCGAACTGAGAAGTAATACTCATATGTGCACCCTCCCCTCCATATTGCACAACCAATAAAAATGAAATTATTTTCAAATGTTCCTTGTCAATGTAATATTTACAACTCAATTCATCTTTCAATCATTTTAGAAATCACTTCTTTTCCGTGTATATCATACATTTTTGCAAACCAGTTCGATGTAACTACAAGCGTTTCGCATCCATCTGGAAAAATCCCTGGTCTTATAAATGGGAACAGTTTTGTTACTACGTTTCTTTGATATGCTAATCGTAGAAACCTCAGAAGGGGAATATAAGATGCGTACATATATTTACTTCTTCACGTTCTTTATTCCGTATAATGATCCATTTGTCAATGTAATGATTTATCTCCTTATTATAAATTATCTCCCATATCGACAAAGGACACATCAATAACCTCATCTTTTGCATGACGTCTTGAATTATATGTTTCGTCAAATACCTTAATTTTGGTGTCTTAAGTGGTTGGATTTTTTTTGTCACTCTTTTTTCCGACCCCCGCTATACGTATTTTTCTATTTAACAAATACAAGACAGGACCAATAAAAATGAAAAAAGCACTAAGCAGTCCTCCTACATAGACAAATAAAACATAATTTCTATTTTCTTTCGTTTCTTCATTTTTATCATCCCCAAATACATTAGTATTGTGATTATCATTTGGAGTGTTATATCCACCTGGTGTATACGAGCTATGTATGTTACTATCCTTGTTACTATTATTATTGTTTAAATAACTGCTGTGTCCTACATTCTTCCCGGTGCTTACTGGTTTTATTGACTTTTTCTCATCTATTTTTTCTGATTCTTGATGGTTTTTGTCATTTTTGAAAACGATACTCGTGTAAACTTCTGTTTGCCGATGTGATCCCTCCGTCACCATAACGTTTTCTTGTTTTGTCTCTTCTCCCTTCACGTTATCTGTTTCTTTATCGTCCTTAAGTGTAGAATCAGTTGCATCATCCTTTAGTTTCCCACGTTCGACTCTTTCCAATGATAATGTTTCCAATTTTGTTGGCGTCATTTTGTTTACTTCTAATTTTTCTAAATCGGTAGGTGCATTCCCTACATTCTGTAACTTCCAGCGTTGATCTTTCAATTCTTCTATTATGGTTTCATTTTCCTTTATCAATTTCTCCATATTTCTAATCGTCTGAGTTACTGTGTCAATGGATTTAACGACGCTATCAAAAAAGTTTTTAGCATCTTCGTACATACTTGAGTTATCTTTCGAAATTGAAGAAAATATCTCAGTCATTTCGTCCTTCTTCTCCCATGTTTTTTGTATCAAATCTTTTATAAGGTTGTATATTGATTCTAAGTATATGCACGAATTAGTTATAATTAGTTTAACCTTATTGTCTTCAAATGTACTATAATAATGATATAATTTGTTGACTGCCATTTTAATTTCTGTCCAGTCATTTACTTTTTCTAAAAAATCGTGCACAGGGTATTCTTGCCTCTTTTCGTGTAAATCGATTTTTGAATCACTGTAGAATTTCTTCAAATCTGTTGATTTTATGAGAAAATCATCCATGTGGGTTTCATCTAATTTGGTTTTTACACTTCCCAGTTCTGCTTCCAACTTTGCTAGTACTTCAATTTTTACAGCTTCACTTATCAGATCAGATGATCGAATCTCATCAATTTCTTTTTGTAGTTCACCCTTTAACGAGACTATTTTTCCTTTTAAATGGTTGATCGATTTATTAATGTCTTCACATTCGTTTATGCTCCTGTTTAAGTGGTTATGAAAATGTATGGTTTTGTTTAAACATTCGATTATTTTGAGGGGCTTATTTATAGATTCTCTGCTTCTTTCAAAGCTGTCATGTTCAATACTTATATTTTTATTCATCATTTCGGGTTGAATATTTCGTGCTAATACTTCTATTCGTTCTACATAATTACTATCACCGAGTAAATAAAAGTACTTGTCCAAATTCCTATAATATTTTAGAAGCTTCTCGATATGAGTTACCAGACCCTTGATGTGGTCCATTTTTTGTGACAATTCGAGTTCCCTCTGTAAAAGACTACCCTTCAGTTTGTCGAATACTGTACAGTTGTATGTGTCTTTGAGAGCTTGTCCATCCACTTGTAACGTGTTGAAGTGTTCTTCTTCGTTTTTCAAAGCTTCCTCCATACTCTGTTCTAATATTTTTTCTTCCCTTTCGTATTCCGCCATATTTTGAACTAACTGATCGTACTCAGTTTTAAATGATTCCAAAGATTCTTTCATTTTGTTGTATAAATCTTCGCTCATCCTTTTCACAAGATCATTTTTAAGATTTTCGGTATTGTTGACTTCTGCTGTTAACTTATCATAAGCATGTATCAATTTTTCGTGAGTCAGGGTGTCTAATTTGGTATGAGCTCCCGTTATTTCACGGTGATGCCGTTCCAATTGGTCAATTTGTTCAACAGAAAACTTCTCGTCTACAATTTCTCTCTTTTCACGAACACACGTACCAACCGTTTCGATAAGATCATATACGTCTTCGCTGTACAATGTTTTAAATATAGAATTAATATCATCATTGGCTCTGTCCTTTTTACTTATGAATTCATCCAGATTGACATCCAACCTTCGATTCAGTAATTCGTTAATAGTGATGACATCTTCACTTCCCTTATCTCTTAAAACGATGACTTCCTTTAATTTGTGCATTTTCTTTATCATGTCGTTAATTTTTTCTTTAATTTATTCCGGGTATCTTGCAAGCTTCTCTTCCTTTTCCTTCAATTCTTCCACCATAGAGGGGTTTTCCACCTCTATTTCTATTTCAATGAAGTCGTCCTTAGTAGATATCAGACGTTCATGGGGATTTTCCAAGGCTGTCTTATTTTGCTCTACAAGATTCTTCTCCTTACTAATTGCAGATATTTTTTCCAACAGTAAGTTTCCCTTTACTATGCTATCCGTGTACTGGGCTATTTCGTTTAATTTTTTTAAATGATTATTTTTGTTCACATGGAACACTTTATTATATATTCTATAGATTAACTGAGCCCTGTTTAATATTTCTTCCTTCATTTCTTCCTGATAACTAAAGTCATATTGCAATGCTTCCAAACGACGCTTCGTTATTATTTCACGATACTTTTTAAAAAAGTCTCGTTTCTTTTTATTTTCCCCAAGTATTCTTTCTGCATATTGAACAATTTCTTCGGACGACTTCAGAATTTTATTACTTTCCTCTTCAGAAAATACAGAATCGGTTAATTTATCACCTTCATCTTTCAACTTTTTCGTAATTGTGGAAAATAAATCATTAGACTCTTTTATTTTTTCTTCGTATATCTTTTTAATTGGAATATTCAAAATCATCAGATGATGGAACACACAATAGTTGTTAATTAGCTCTTTTGTACTTTTTAGTATTTTATCTTCCTTCGTATCAAATAATATACCATTTTCCTTCATGTACAGTAAAACTTTATTAGCGTGATTAATTAGCGACCTGTTAATAACATACAGATAGTTAAGCTCCTTTATTTCTTGGCCTAATAGCTTCAAAAGGTAGACATCCTCTTCTATGTTTATATTCTCTTTTTGTGCATGCTCTAATAGTTTGTCCAGAGAATTATAATCATTAATACTTTTAACGACCGTAAGAACGGACTGATCAGTAGTATCTACAATGCTACGTATATATTTGTTAAGAAGACGCGCATAATTCAGAAGATAAGCATTGCACTGGTGGATACAGCTCGATCGTTTCAAATGGTCATATGCCTTATTTCTAATGTCATCTACAATAGGTCTTATGTCATCATTATAAACTTTTAAGTACTCTTGGTATTTCTCCTTTGCTAATTTTAATTTTTTACATTTTCATCCTCTTCCTTGATTTCTGTAGAACCCTCATTATAAATGCTTATGATAGCATTCATTTTTCTTATTTCACTCTTTTCTTTAAAGAGGTTTTTCATCAGTTCGTTTAATCTATCTGTGTACTCTGTGACTTTTTTATCCATCTTCTCATTGTAGAACGTGTGTTATTCTTTCCCCTCAGGAATGAGGTATCTAATTTCTTTTAAAGATTGCAGATTGACATAATCAATCTCCATCGAGAAATATGGACTATATCCTATCAGTCGACTGGCATAATCCTCTAAAACGACTTTATATTTCGATACCAATTTTTCGTTTTGCACATCGGATCCCTGATTTTTCTGCAATCTATCTGAATCTTTTTCCGTATCACTTAGCACGTTCTCGATTTTTAAAACCACTTCAACCTCATCATCGTCAGGGGGTTCATTTTTGAGACTAACACTTCCTAAACTTAGAAATGAAGAACTATCAGATTCGGTTATTCCCGTTGAATGCTGCCTATTTCCTTTGCTAATTTCTTTATCAAACTGCTAAGCACTGTCTGTTTCCAGACTTCTAAAACTTTCCCTCTTTACGTCATTAGGCTTGAACTTTTTGTTTCTCTTCAAATTCGGATCGAATGATAAAAATTTCGACTCTTCAAAATGTTTTTTTCTATTATGCAACGTGTTTTTCCCTCGATTTAAATCTATAGGTGAACGGAAAATTGGAAGATAGTTTGCCAAAGTAGACATGACTTACTAGAAAATCGAGCGTACCAGGAAGGGAGAAGCATACGCCCCGGGTTACATATTAAGACAGGTGCCCCCATGGGCATCCATATTGCTGTTACCAAGAGATGCAAGCCATAGACCAAAAGAGGCTGTCCAATAATTTGGTTTCTTCATATTTTAAAAAGAAAGACTGAATCCTATTTTCTTTCACCTTCTTACGAATTTAAAGGAATACATTATGCTTTTAACAAATAAGTGCTACTGTTCATTATTTAAACCTTTGCATGAAACATTGTTCACGCTCTTGTCCTTTCATTTGCAATTTCATCTTTACATATTATCCTTCATGTGTACTTTTTGCATTATAAAGGATACATGAAATGGAAAGGGGAGGCAAACCATAAGCGTGTTCTTAAATGGGTAAACACAGAAAAAAAAAACGTTTATATTACACGCGGAAAATTCAAAACTATTCCATAAGCGATCTCCTTAACTATAAATTCTAAGTGTACCATAAACTGCTTGATAAAATGAGATTAATTTTTTTTTGCACTTGACTCTAATGTGCATCCTAAAAAAACAGTTTCACCGTTTTGTTTTTTTGGGGAGAAAGAAAAGGAAATTATCAATCTGTGCCATGCAAAATACGCACGAGGAGGGGCATTGTTCCATAACTTGTGACAAAAAAAGTGGGAGCAGAAGACCACCTCAGCAATTAGCTTAACTTACTGTTACCTGGAGAAACAATAAACATAAACGCTCGAGTTAAACGCATATCGCGCGAAATTTACACGATTTTTCTTATGAACGTGTTTGAAAAATAAATTCTTCAAAACCCTAAACTAGGGGGGAATTTTATTTCGATAGTTATCTCGTGAATCAATATTCACAAAACATTTATACGGGAAAATAATAATAATAACCAAATATCATTTAGGCAAATTGAAAATCAGCCCCACAGCTTCATATTTTAATTAGAACGAGGTGAACTTATCCAGAAACTTAGGCTAAGAAAATAGGGCCAATGAACTTTTAGACAATTTACGTGTGCGCCCCCCAATTGCAGTGAAAATTAGTGAGATAGGGCTTAACCATTAAGCTGTTTAAGTACGCATGTTTACGCAACTGTATATATATATATATGAATGCCTAAATTTATGTTTGCCTCTATTTTCCCCCTTGTGTAAGTTAGTGTATTAAACTTTTACAACTAGGTATAATTCCCCACGTGGACAAAAATTAATAGCCATCGATTCTTTTTACCAAGCGTTCTGAAACTTCTTCTCCATACCCTGACACAACATCAATCAAAGTAAAATTATTCATTACAGAAATTTTCTATAGCTCTCTTTTACAAAGTCCATTTTTTTGGATAATAAATAAAATAATAGATTATGTAATTTGTATTTTTATAAATAGTTTTACTTGTTTTTTTTTTTTCCTCCATAATTTTGTCCAATTATTGTTGCACACTGCACTTTACGTATTAGTGAACGTTTCCATCTTATCACTTCAATGTAGCTAAATAAGACAATAGAATCTTCTTTATTCTGAATGCAAACATAAAACGCATTATATATGTCAGAATTGATGTCTACGGGGGTGCCACAATGAACTTTTCATGTTTATACTTTTAAATAAATTTTGAGCTTCTCCTATATTTATTTTATTTAATTATTTTTTTTTCTGCACGTTTCTAGAAGCAGGGGTGACATATTAACTCTACTGGCTTTGTATGGATTCAAATAAACGACGGCTAATCCAAATTCACCATTATAAGGATGCCACGTTATATTCTATTATCCTAAATTCAATTTTTTCTATGTTGCTCAAAATTTAATAGGAATTAAGGCAACACCCTCATGACTATGCCTGTTGCTGAAATTTTTTCACCATTTCACATCCCTTTTTTTGTTTTATTTCACGCCCCCCTTTTTTTCAATGTTCCTTTAACATATTTCATTATATACAATCCCATTAAAGAAATACGAACTAGAACACAGGCATATACGTTTTTCCTAGTGGACATACCCGAAGACTTTTAAGAACCAAAAATGCTGTAATAGAAAACCAAAGTTGCATTCAAACGATTTACTACTTCTTTGGATACAAGCTGATACTTTTTCGAAAATATTCGTTCAACATTTACAAAAAAAAAAAAAATAATAAAAATATTTTTGACCAACTCTTAAAATAATAGTAAAAAAAACAAAAAAAAAAAGGACGTAATGTCTACATTCATCTGCACACATTGGCACCCGTGTGTGTACATACCCATACGTATATGCCCAAGCATGGAAAATATACTTCTAATTAGTGCCCCTTCAGAAGAGACGCCAAATTAGAGCGCATCAATGTAGTCTCCATTTTTTACTCATCAGGATCAACGAAACAAACATCAATGATTTCTTCTTTGTTTCCTAGGTTTATGTTGTCTGTAATTTCAAACGCTTCATCCGCTTCGTTGCCATTTTTTGTTTTCCTTTCCTTGCCAATATCAGCTTCCTCTGGGTCATCTTTTTGATTTATCATAATAACCACTATTACCCCGAAAGAAAAAAGTAAAATGAATGCTCCTATGTATTTGACCTTATCAGAATTAAACTTTCTGTTCGAAATATCCGCTTCATCACTGGCATCTGACATATCCTGATCGATACCATCCTCGGTGTTCTGTGTAGGTATATCATGTTCATCACTTCTGGTACCGTCACTCATCTCGGTTTGATCCGTGGGTGGTGTACTTTCCGCATCATCTAACCCATATACCCCTTCTTCCTCTGCTTTTCTATTATGTTCACTAATTCCCAAAGTCCTAATTGTCTTTTCCTTCTCTATATCACTTTTTTTATGATTCATTTCTGATAATATGCGCTCATCCTTTACTAGTTGATCTATTCCTCGAAGTATTACTTCTAATTGGTGAATTATTTCACTTGCTTCCTTCATGTGCTTTTCTGCAGATTTATATTCACTGGGATTTTTATCTAAAGATATCTGATTGAAGAATGCGTCCATATCTCCCCTCTTATTAATAGCATCTTCTAAAACACTATTAAGTATTTTAGCATCATCTTTTATTTGTTTAACATCCCTGTCTATTTCCTTCGCTTCTCTCTCCAAATCATAAATAGAAATATCATTCATCATTTTGCTTTTTTTTTCCAGGAGATTCTTGGACATTGTTTGCATTTTTTCATGAATTTTATAACTACTCAGTTTATCTGTCACATTATGCTTAATCTCATCTAATTTTTCCGCTATTTTGAGCAATAATTCCTGTGCATATAAGTCATTTAATATAAATTCCTTTTTCTTCTTTATATTTTCAAGGAATTCGATAACACTTCCTTTTTTGAGAAGAATATTGCGTAGCATATCATCGTTTTGTTTTATATTCTCCAGGATCTTTTCATACTCCGTTTTTGTTTCTACTAGCTTATTGGTGATCTTTTCTATGTAATCACTTTCTCTGTGTATCTTTTCTGTGCTTACTTCCATTAAATTGTAATTGTTTTCCTTTTTGAAAATATCGATGTCATTCATTAGGGTGTACGTTTTGTCGATTAAAATGGAAAATTGCTTCTTGTACTCTTCCACATATTGAGAATTATAGCTAAAATCACGATCAATTTCTTCCAGCTTTTTCACTTCAGCTTCCATAACGTCGTATATGTTGTTAATATTCTGCACACTTTCTGGGGTGTATTTAAGGGAATTTTTAATCAGCTCAGCTTCTATACGATGCAGATTGTCTTCCACGCTTTTCAGTTTCTTCTGTTTCTCCAGCAAAGCCTTATTATTCGTTTCATTCAAGCGTTTGTGTAATTCTAAGAGGGGCTTAAACACGTCAGAACTTTGTTCCAGTTGCTTCAGCTTAGTTTCACTGATATTTCTGTAAAAATTATCCATTTGTTTTTTTTCCTCCTTCAGCTTACCATAAAGTGCCAAAAGATTTTGGACGCCTCCTTCTACAATGTGAATATCACTATTTTGATGGAATGAATATAATTCTCCTTTTATATTGCTTATCGTGTTTAAAGATTCCTTTTCATGTTTTTCGAAATTTAGAAAATATTTATCTGCATTTTTCACATTTTCGGATGCGTTGCTAAATGTAAGCTTATTATGGTAAAACTTTTTCAATGTTTCGACATAAGTATCTGTGGAGGACAAATTAGTCTTAATGTAGTCTACAGACTTTTCAGTGTTTTCCTTCTGTTTAGTTATCATTCTTAATATTTTGCAGGTTCTCATGTTCACAGCACGCCTGATTAGGAAAATCGAGTGAGACTCACAGTTTTTTCCCAATATGTACAATTCATCAATACTTGGGTTCATTTCCATAACCTTTGAATCTATTATGCTTATTTTTTCACTAATATTTCCCATTTCGACATTGGCTCTTTCCAATTTTTCAGTGTCTTCTTTAGATTCCCTGGCTGATAAGAGTATTCCTTCCAACTGTGCTATGGAGTTACTATACATGCTCATATCGTTGTTCATTTCTTGCAACACCGATTCTTTCGGCGCATCTCTCTTCTTAACCTGATAGACAGGATCCATTTCCTTTAAATTTGCCAACTCCTCTGTATTGTCTAGTAACGTATGGAAATTTTCAAAGTGGCATTTCTTTCCTACCACTTGCCTCAATCTTTTTAATGCTTCTCTTATCTTTTCTGAAACGACCCTTTCTTTGTTCTTGGCTTCTTCCCATTTTTCGTTAAATTCATTTTTTAGTTTTATTACATTATAAATATCACTAGCATTTTTAGCTAGCTGTTCACTTTCTCTTTGTTTTTGTATTACATCATTTGAATCCTCTTCAATTTTTTTTAAAAGTTTATTCGAATTTGATACTACCGAAAATATCTCGGACTCTAAGTCTGTCGTAAAATTAGATTTCATTTCCGCATTGAATTCCATTCCTGATGAAATTTTTGCATCATCCCTTAGGAAATAATTTGCCAGAGTTACCATACTTTCATACATGCTTTTCGCTTCTCTCTTATAGTCGGCGTCTTTCGACTCCTTAACCTTTTTAACTATACTTACTAGATTGTTTACCATACTCGAACATTCACTTAAATCATTCAATGTTTTGAGCTTATCGACAATTGTCTTCATATCCTGTACATGCTTACTAACGCTTGCATGGTCCCTTGTCATACCTTCATATTCGGCGCGCATCTTTTTCATCATTTTTTGTAGCAGTTTTGACGATTCCACCTTTTTAATATCATTCAGAAGTCTCATCGCTTCCTCCTCTCTTTCTCTCAGATGTTTTTCTTCCTTCTTTGCTCGTTCCCTTAAATTTTGGGCCTTCTCAAAGGTCACAGAATAATCTGAAACATTGGATAAATGGGTTTCTATCAAATTGTACAATTTGGTAAATTCTTCATGAATGCCATTCATTTTAACACCGTAATTTTTTAAATCGCCGGTCATGTCATATTCCTTCAATTTTAATTTAATAAAAATAGACGTCCTTGGATCCACCAAGGCGTTTATTTCGCTTCGTATTAATTCGAAATTACTTTTCCTTTTATCGGCATTTTCCTTAATCCTTTGGAGTAATCCTTCTTCATATTTTCCCATCGTTCTTAGCAAGTTATTTTCTATCTCAATTATTTTTTTCTCTATGTCGATCAGACTTCCTTCTGCCATATTGATATTACTCATTTCATTTTTAACGATTTCCAAATTTTTCTCATAAGATCCATTAGCAGCTTTTATTTTATTTAGGGAATATTCGGCATTCAATTCACTTATAGGCAAAACGGACTTCATTGATTTATCAGCCGCATCAAAATATTGAAGTGCATTTTTTTTCACCCTTTCAATGTTTGATAAAACGATGTCAAGTTGTTTTCTGAAATTATCTATTTCTAATAACGACCTGGTGGCAATATCGTTAAGCTGCGTAAATTCCTTTTTCTCTATTTTGCCTTTTTCCTTCAATTCCTCTATTTTTCTTTGGTTCTCAGTCACTCGCCCTTTAATTCTGCCATCTATGCTTCTAATTTGGCTGAATATTTGTTCCGCATCAGCATGTTTTTTTTGACACTTCACTTTGATTTCTTTCATTAAAGATTCGTTAAACAGGTTTTCCATCTTAGTTCCATAATCTAGGAGGGATTTATATAAGACTTCAGTTTTGTTTACCCGCTCTACCACTTCGTGAAAGGCGTTCTCAGCTCTGACAACATAACCATTTACCTCGTCCATTTGACTATTCATTATTCTGGCTTTTCCTCCATCCCCATTATTTTCTAAATTCTCAATTTTTTTCTTCCCTTGTTTAGTATTTTCCCAATGTGAAGAGCACATTTGTTTATACTTTTCTGACTCTTCCCAAAATGTAAGTGTACTATCTTTCATCCTTAAAATTTCTCTTTTGATTCCCTCAATTTTTTTTACCTTATCAGCTATGTGACTGTAGTCTAAATCGTTCACAATCTGTTCCTTTAACTTCTGTGCCTCCTCCAATCTGGCTCTTGCGTTTTCCTCTTCACTTTCTCCTTTTCTAAATTCTTGATTGGCTAACTGACTAAAACGGACAGATTCGCTGGAATTTTCCTTTATATATTTTAAAATGCTACGATAATTCGTTGACATGAACAATTCTTTAACGCCCTTAAGTTCATTCAGCTCCTTGCTTATACCAGCATTGGCTTCTATAGCACTTTGCAAATTCCTGTTAGCCTGCTGAATCATTTTTTTCACCTCATCGAATATCTCCAGTTTGTTCGCTATATTCCTCAAATCAATTGATTCTGCTTCATTTTGTTTTATTTTATTCTCATACCTCCTTGCATTATCTAAATGCTTTGTAATACTCGATGTGATTGATTCATTCTGCGATTCATCAGCTGTTTTATTTATCAAGTTTTTAATTTTATTCTTGAGAGAATTCATTTCTTCAACACTCTTTTGAGCTTTGTCCTTTTCTACTGTAATCTGTTCTAAAATGTGCCCAATAATCTTCTTCTCAAATTCTAATTCCACATTGTCTACTTTTTCCTGTGCTTCCTTCAATTCGTTTCCTGTTTCTTTCTTTAGTTCTTCCGATATCTTTTTTAGCTTTTCATAAATATCCTTCATTTGTCCCTTCACCTTATTTAGCCCCTCCAGATCGTCTTCGTTTTCCTTTTCCTTGGCATTAATCTTTAAACTCTTTGATGTTATCTCCAGTGCGGTCATTGCGCCGATGTGTTTGTTGACCAGTTCGTTGAGTTTGCTGATGGATCCCCTTATGGCTTCTATTTGTTCCGAATTTTCCGTATTTCTAACCTTCTTATAATCTTCATTCCGTTCAACGAGGTTTAGTTTATCTTCTATTGCTTTTACGGACTTCAAAATTTCATTTTTATTGCTTGTTATGCTGTGAACAACGTTGTTTATATCGCGATGCATTGCCTCTATATAACTAACAGAGCTGTTTTTAAATAGCGTAACTTTATTTTGGCTAATCATCTCGTAAATAACATATAGTTCGTCTACTTCCTTTTTGATTTCTTTCCATTCGTCAATTCTATTCAAAGGATCTTGTCGCCCTTTTTGGTCCTTGCTCAAATGAATTTGCGACTTCGATTTTGAGTAAAACTTCAGAAGATTCTCGTTTTTAATTTCTAAAATGTTTAGTCTATTATCGTGCAATTCTTCTCTTAGCTTTCTCATTTTGTCTGTTAAACTTGTTAAAAGGAACGCCTTGGTATTTTCTCCCACCATTTTATCTCTCTCCGTTTCGGTAATTTCCTTGTGTATCTCTTCTCGTAGAGTTTTTACTTTGTCTCTGAAAAGAGCAATATCCTCGTTATACTTATTGCAGTTGTTTATGCTATCATTTAAACGTTTAAGTGAATTTATTGCCCTATTTAAACTTTGAATATTTGACACGATATCTTCTACTGCACTGGTTTGCTTCCTGAATTCGATCTCGTACTGGTATATTTTGTCTCTCAAACGATTACTAATAATTTTTTCCTTTAATGCTTTAACTTTTGAAACTTCATTTTTATCGCTGATGAGGGGAAAATATTTTTCAATAACACCGTAATAGTTTAATTGGCTGTCAATTTTATTTATGACTTCCACCACGTGGGTAATTTCGGCGAATATTTTATCTCTCTCTCTGGAAAAATTTTGCTCATCTTTAGTGTATTCTTGCACATTTATTTCTTTCTTGGGCAGATCTTCATCTACTTTTACATTTTTAAAATATTCCTCCTCCTTTTCGGATCTATCTTGCATATGCTTTTTTATGGTGTCTCCCTCCTGGGTGTACTGTTTCATTCTGTCTTGCAGCGCATGAAATTTTGTGAAAAACGAATCCGAAAATTCTTTCATTTTGTTATGAACATTTTCGAATTGTTTTTTCGCAATTTTATTTTTCATCCCTTCAGCATAAGTCACCTTTTCACTCATTTCCGTGTACACATCTGTCAGTTTGTCATCGCTAACAAAATCTAATTTAGCAAAAGCTTCTTTGGCAGCTTTTAGCTTCTGTTCTAGTCCTGCTTTGTCGAGCCTCTCCAGAGCTGTCTCTTTATTTTCGGTTATAAAATTTTCAACTGCTTCTATTAGCTCATTTATGTTTTTCGTATTCATTGAATTGAATAGATCGTTAATATCCTTTTTCACCGTCTCCTTATCGCTAAACCCGTCCATATTATCATACGATGCTATGTTGAGCAATTCATTAATTTCGGTGAAGCACACATCTGATTTCCCTTTTAAGGAGACAAGTTTCTTTAAATCATCTGCCTTTTTTGCCATGTCTTCTAACATAGCTTTGATCTCTTCTTCATTCAAAGCACGAGAAAATTTCTCACCCTTCAATTGTTTTATTCTTGCGACATTTTCTTTAAACTCTATGTTCAGATTAGATATTTCACTTCTTGATTCTAACATTTCTTTGTAAAACTGTTCCATTTTTTTGAAAGTTTCATCTATTCTCCTGGTTTTATCAGTGTTAATATTGCTTATTTTCTGCAAATATAAATTTACTTTTATTGTGTTGTTTTCTTGTTCTTCTATATTATTCAATTCCATTTTATACCTTTGCCTTAAATTCTCGTATATATGTTCGTATTTACTAGAAATGAAGTCCCATTTGTCTTGTATGCCATATTCATATTTTTGTTCCATTCGGTCGATAAGCTCCTGAAGATCTTTTGACTTTTCAGACGTTGTCTCATCATCTGGAATATTGTCGTATAACCTTTTATTCCTTTTGAATATTTTTCCAGCTTCGTCTTTTATTTTATCTGAATCGGTTTTAATTTTATACCACTTCCTCCTGTCAAGTGTGGACTCGTACAACGCTGTAGCATTTTTTCTTAAGGTGTCTATAACCGTAGAAAATAGTTCATTAGATTTTTTTATTTTACTTTCATATTTTTCCTTAATTTTGCCGTTAAGTTCTTTTATGTATTCAAAAATACAATAGTTTTCTGCTAGGAATTTGGAATTATTTTCAAATTTCTCTGCACCTATTTCGTCAGATTCCTTCTCTTCCTTTATGGATTCTAAATTGTGGGCTGCATCGTCAATTAAACTACTGTTAATTTTATACAAATGGGAAATTTCATTGATTTCTTTTCCTAACAATTTCAACGAATTAGCACTTTCTTGAATGTCTACATTGAGTGCATTAGCTTCTGATAACATTTTATCTATCACTCTATAATCGTTAATAGCCTTCTGAATGTATATATACGACTCCATTTTATAATTCCCTGTACTTGATATAAAATTCCTGCGCATTGTATTATATCTTTCTACATATTGCTCACATTTTTCCTTACAGTAGGAATCCTTCAAAAATGAAAAGGCTTGATTTTTTATATCATTTATTTTGGGCTTTAAACTTTCCCTATACTCTTTTATATGAGTATCATAGGCTCCAGTTATTTCTGAGAGTTCTGTTTCCTTTTTACCTAATGTTTCTGTTCCTATAGACTTCGTCTTCGCATAATTAATTTCATGTTCTAATATGATTATTTGTTCTTTTTCAGATATGCATGAATCTATTAAGGTTTTTAACTTATCTGTGTGTTCCGTAACCTGTTGTTTAAGTGTTTTCTCATAATATTCATGGTATTTACTGCCTTCTGGAATTAGGTCCAGAATTCGTTTAAAAAAATGTAGGTCAACAAAATTAATCTCCATGGCAAACACTGGGTTATACTCAAAATCATCCTTCAGTTTCTCACTTATATCAGCTATAGACTTGTGGGTTTCGACCAAATCGTTTGATTCTTTCTGTTCTTGACTTTGTACAAAAGAATTTACAACACCATGTGCTTTCTCATTTTCTTTTTCCTTTTCGTTGTTCCGTTGCGTAGTACTATGTGGTGTACTTTGCCTTACATGAACACTGTATGATGAACTTTTCCCATTGACATGATCATTTAAGTTAACAAACGATGAATCATGAGACGGATGTGATCCTTCGACGTCTTTCCCATTTTCGTTATCTGTTTCTTTAACATACGATTTTTGGTTTAAAAAGTTAGAAAATTTCGCATTTCTTCTTTTCACCCTATTATGTTTCGACTTTTTATTTCCCTTTAAATTAGAATCCAGGGAAAAGAAGTTTACTTTACCTTCGCTTTTATTTATGCTTTCTTCTGCATTTTGTCCGTGCCCCGCTCCTAAATGTGGGGGTGAAAGGGGAAGTAGTTATAGCACATACATAGGAGAGCTACGCAGGAGATCGTATATGAATAAAAGCCCCAAAATGGGGACATATAGATAATGCCACTAGGCGCAAATAACGAGAAATTATAAATTTACACCATTAACATAAGTACACATGTACATATAAATGCATGTGTGTTACCTAAATTGTTGAACAGGTAAAGAAGTGCTGCTAGGTAAATCCCACTTTTCATGATTTAAACAGATCCATTGACTCCACTGTGTTTCTTTTTTTCTGTACCTTTAAACGTTAAAATGAGCGCATTAATTTATTAGTAAATTTAGGTCGTTGCTCAACTGATCTGCCTTCCTGAAATATAAATGTATATATATAAATTGTTTTGCACGTTCTTCTCTTGTGCAAAAGAAGGCTTTGCACGACAAGATCAAAACTTTGACTGACCAAAGGACAAAATTCAAACAAAGTTAATTCGATGGAAACAATGAAAACGGAATAAAAAAATATCCAACTTAGAATAGCGCTAAAGGGCCATATTTTATGATTTTTTTTTTTTTTACAACAAAAAAATTTTAGTGCCCAGATTCGGAACATCTACACTAAGCATGCGCCTAAGCATGAGAAGAAAAAAAAAGAAAGAAAGATCCGTGTCTCCAACAACGAAGAAAGAACAATTCTAAAATAAAGGAATTAAAAATATAGCAAAGAAATGGAACGCGATTTAAAGGTAAAAGAAAAAGTTTCCTTCCAAAGGAGAATTCTGCAAACATTGCAACAACAAAAAAGAAATGATCACAGCCGGAACAATTTTCTACATACCCACTCTATTCTGAACCATAAAAAATAGAATTTCCCTCCTTTCGATCAAATTAAGATGCGCCGTGCACGGTTGTTTTTCGGAAATTTGTCCTTATACCCACAGGTGAAAGTAATATACACATATTTTTTACAATAAACTATAATCTGAACAAATAAAGGAAGGCAATCAAAATGGAACTATTACTTTTTTTTTTTTTTTTGTTATTATTAAATCAAATTTTCCAGGAGCGTAAAAACCTCTTCTAATTTTTGCAGTCCTGATCCCGAGAAGGCTATTTAAATTGAATTTCTAAGTGCACATTTTGTTCCTTAAAGCGGCTCTAATGAGCATGCACATGTTTAATTAATGGTAATTAAAAAAAAAAAAAATTATGATTAGTAAAAAATTTGACGCTGCTAAACAGAAGGTGTATCGCTGAGAATGAATTCATTTTTTCAGAAAGGAAAAATTGTAATTAAAACATTTAGTTTCTTCCACCGCAAAAACAAACAAATAAACAACCCTTTTTTTCTAATTTTTGAAGTTGTACGAGTGGCAATTCTCTTACGATTTGACCTGTACACATATATATATACATGTTACAGAGTCACCTTTTCCATTTTTTTCATAAATTTTTATACTTTCTTGTTTAACTGTTGTGCATTTTATGCTTACCTGAATAGTTTATCCTTACCTGATTAGATCCGGCCCAAGAAAGAAATTAAACATTACCACGCCTAATCACTGCACATAAAATGTGCTCAACCCTTACTGCGGCGACACACATAATATATGTTACGTCGTGTTATAATCTTTATTGGGATTTTTTTACGTTTTTTTTTTTTTTTTTCCTTTTTCGCTATGCGTTAATGTAGCCTTATATGTGTACCTTTTCAGGGCGTATATATGTCAAATTAGCTAACTAGATTGTTCTTCATTATTTGTTGCCAATTCTGAAATTAATTTGTGTAACGTGTTCCATAAAAAAAACATGTTAATACATTTTTAATGATCCTCAAATTTATTCACTTTAAAATTTAATGCTATATCATTCGTTTGTTTTCTTTTTGTGCAATATGTTGTAGCGCTAAAGTAGTTTTGCCTATCTGTGGAAGGAATTACTTCTTATATATTCTCACATCGATTAAACATTTGCTCAAAGAACACCTCCAAATGTGTTCACATTTTGCAACCCTTTCCTCGTTAAAAGGGAAAGAGTAAAAAGTTCCTTTTTCCAGAAATGCGATTTTCCACTTGGGCATTGTACCTCCTCCTAAAACAAAAATAAAGGAAGGCACCTTCTTAGAATGACCTACTACTGTACTAATGGGTTAAGAAGTTAACTGAGAAGAACGCGAGTGGGTGCCATAGCAGTGGAAGAACCAAAGTTCAATCCTATATATTAAGTGTTTCCCTTTGTTATTTCAAAATATGTATAATATACCTTTTTTCCATGAAGCCCATTTTCTCCGTTACGCGCGTAATAATTGGATCATTACGCGTTTGGCATGTAAACGTCTTTGTGCAACTACACATGTTACTTATAAAAAAAAATTGAAATCCCATTAATAGCCAATGCTATATGCACATACAAAGCACATTTCACGGATACGCCTTGGAAAAAGTTCGCGGAGCCCCTTCTTCCAAAATGGGTAATCAGTTAAATTACATACGTGTTCTTCCGCCCTCCTACGAATTCCTATCTTTTCCGCTTCTTATGTATTATATTGTAACAAATTAAATCTTTCGAAAAATGTGTAAATGTATAGGAAACACCTTTGAAAGTCAAAAGTGATGTTCCCATTTAAACCTATGTAAAAGAAGGATCTCCTTCTTTGCACGTTTTGGAAGATCACTATGGGTACACCACAGGAGGGTGTATGTGATAGGGGCATATTTCTCCACCTTTCTCCGATCACACTTTTTCGATTCCGTTTTATCTATTTTTAATGCGTAATGGACTGATTCTACTTAAGCAGTTATAACCGTGCGGCCGCTTTGTTCTCATTGGATGAAGAAACCCTAACGCAAGGGATAGACATACGCTCATATTTGCCCACCTTCACATTTGGCTCCACCTTTGCTTGGGCATAAGTACACATACACGCGCTTGAAATCTTCTTCGAAAATGCACCATAAAAAAACGTTGAAAAAGTGAAAAAAAAAAGTTTCACATGTTCCTCCTTGTATGATGGGTGAAAAGAAGTGCTTCCTGGGGAAAGCGCCAGTTGGAGGTAAGGAATGGTAGAGTTATCCTTAATTATACAAATTGGCACTCCTTTTGACATATATTCAAAATGTAAATTTTTCAAATTAATGCTTTAATATTAAGGAGCAAAAAAATTTCTTTCTTCAAACGGGAGTTCAATTTCTTTAAAATTCATCATCACTTTGACTTGCTGAACATTTTCTTGCAACATTTTTCTTCTCGTAAAAGAGGACGCTTCCAATTTTAATGCATGAAAAGAATTATTCCTCAGAAGTGATACAAAAGGGTCGGAACGAATTGAATGTTTTTTTCTTTTCCTACGTCATTTTATGTGGTTTTGCATGCAAATATCATTTTGTACCTTCTCCCAAATGGAAAAATATGTGGTGCACAGGCCGTTCAATTCTGTAGACGCATTTTATACCTGTATAAACACTTCATGGAGAAATGTATACATATGGATGCTCTCAAAAATGAGGAAAAAAAAGGAACGTGAAATCTGCATTCATAAATATACAACCATTATCTCTTGGCAGATATAAATACACGCGTATATATGTAAAATGGCACTTTGCACTAAATTCCATTTCGACATCATCGTGAATGAGAAGTAACTTCCAAATCTCATGTGTACAGCTGAAAGTAGGTTAACCGTTAGGACAAAATATGCGACATTAAGTGGTCCCTTTTGAAAAATGTGCATGCAGAATGAAGCAATTATTATGCCACATCCGTAAATTTACTCAGGCATGTACATTTTGAATGAATAACATTAAATTATGTAAAAAAAAGAAACTGTTTTGCCCAATAACATGGACCCTCCCTAATTATACAGATTAAAAAAAATTACAAAATTAAGTGAACATAAAAAGTATTGACAAAATTTCCCAACTTTTTGGCAGAATTAATCTGACATACAAGTAAAAAGAATATCAATTTTGACGCAAACCCGTTTACACCAAATAACCGAAAAAATTTTACGCCATGGCATTCAACAACAGATTAACCCTCTTTATTTTGTTTATATGCTGCGCCTTAATTGCAGCATACAGCTGCGGGGATGCGAATCAGAAGTCACCGACCAGGGTTCCCCTAGATCCAAGGATTTTAGAATTGAGTACGAAGGTGGAGAAGGAAAAGAGATTACACAATTTAATATTTGTGTCAATTTTTTCTGGGACGGTTATAACACTTTTATTTTCAATGGTGGGACTCGTGGTCGATGATTACATTAGAGATGTCAAATGGAGAGAGCAGCTTACAAGGAAGAATTGATGAACGGAAAAAATAAAAAAGTGGAAGAAAGTAATTATCCCCTGGTGGACGAACACGCGTAACTTTTACGCACAAAACAAGAGGCACCCATAATTCACAGATACTTACCCACTCGGTTACAAAATAAACACATCGGATGAGCCAACTGCTCTGATGGGAAAGAAGACCTGTACTGTTATCCCGAAATGCATATTTACATGTGCACATCGCAACGTCCATTTTCCCACTCCTTTTGTACGCTACAGAATGAATATTTTTAATTTTTGTGAATTCTTGCTCCCTGCCTTCTTTATATGTACACTTTTCATATTTATGCTGTTCTTTTTACAAGTGTTTGAATATGTATATTGTTCTTACAGGTATATGTATCCACTCATTGTGCAAGTACAAATAACTGCATCGTTCGTAAATGCATAAATTTCTTGAGTACAGAACGTTTTGACCGTTTTAATATTTTAGCATTTGTCATATGCCGAAACTTCTTAAAGAAAGGCTACAATATAATGTGAAAAGAAATATGCTTTAACAAATGGCCTTATTCTTTAATGAATAGAAATTCGGATGGTATATATCCCTTCAAAGGGGGGAAATGAGGGGACCTACATAAAAGGCAGTTTTTTTTTCTTTCTCACATTTTGACAATAACAGAAACGCTTTGGACCAAAATATATGCGCCCTCACAAGGGCGTAATCCAGTGCACATTTTTTTAATGTTATATATTTGTTGTTGCTGGGACTTTCCTATTTTGTGCGCGGATACGGCGTTTTGTACTTTTGCGAGCATTTTTAGTTACCACAGGTTTGTGGTATATTCACATAAAAAGAGTTTTTTTTTTTCTTTTTCTCTACGTCGCGTGAAAAAATATTTTTAAATGAAAAAGTGTGAAGGATTTTCCCTTCCGGCGAGTCAATTCATCTTTACATATTACAATGAAGATTATGGAAGGATACA